CAAATTTCCTTCCAAAATGAGTCGAATCGAGGCCAGAATAATACTTAATGTATTCATGGGTCAAAATGGACACGTGACTCAGCCTTGTTGTGATTGGCTGCAAACCACCCGATCGCGCGATTCGCAGGCCAGAAAACAAACGCGTTTGTTTTTGTAGGTCACCGATCGTGTCGATCGGTTTGTGCCATGATGGCCGCTTTGCGCCCTCAATTTGGCTGAACTGAAATAACTTGGTGTTGGTCACAATTCACAACTGCTGGGGCTGTCAAGGTAAACAAAGTGAGAATAGCGAACCAGACAAAACGGAAGTCACCTCGGGGGCATGACCTGGCCAATCAAAATTCGTAGTTTGGGGGGTGTGTCCCAATCAGCCAACGAAATGCGAGAATTTGTTACTTGTACATAGTGTGTGTTTTGACCTGTTTAGGAATGTTCTATCCGTATGTCAGCGTCGGGCAGTTGTTGAGTTGACGGTTACAACGGTACCAAACACTTAGGGGTTGCCGGTGTGTATAAACGGGTAACGGTGAGGTAAAAAAGGTGCTTTTTTTACCAAGGTACCCAAAAACTTGCACAAGTTACGATCTTTTATGCACATTTTGAGCATTTTATATTATGTTTTAGACACTTGAAAATATTTCCAATCGATAGAGCAGATGTTGTTCTACTAAAATAGTAAAATAGTCCACAATCGAAAAATCGGTTTTGGACACCTAAATCGACTTTTTCTGGCTGTTGGCTACTGCCGTGGTGTTCCTTAAAGGCTCAGCTTCCAAAACCCTTTATTTTGCTAGGTGATTTCAATGCCCACAGCCCCCTTTGGGGAGACAAACCTACAGACCAGAAAGGAAAAATAATAGAAGATTTTTAATTTCAAAATAACATCTGTCTCTTAAATGATAGGTCCCCAACTGACAGAAACAAAGCCACTTATGGCACTTCATCCCTTGACCTCACCTTTTGTACCCCTGACCTAGTCCCAGATCTTGAGTGGTCTGTGCTGGATGACCGTACGGACCATTTCCCAATTCTCCTAAAAAACAATAGCCTCCAAAACGACCCGCTCCCAGAACGCTTCAACTTCAAAAGAGCAGACTGGAACGGGTTTGCCAATCAATGTTTCCAGATTCTGAACCCCACTTTTGACTTCAACTACAATAAATTCCACGAAAAGCTTTTAGAAATATGCCCAAAACACATACCAAAAACGAAAGCAAAACCCCGGAGAAACAAGATCTGGTTCTCTGAGCGATGTGAGCATGCAGTAAAGAAAAAGAAGGCAGCGTATCGAAAGGCCGTCAACAACACCACCGCAGAAAACAAGATTAATTATTTAGAGGCTCGAGCTGTGGCACGTAGATGTCTCAGGGAGAGCAAAAGACAATCATTCAAAAAATACATCTCCAAAATCAACAGCCAGACACCACTCAACCAAGTTTTCAAAATCGCTAAAAAATTCTTGGGAAGACACCTTTCGCGACGTCCAGAGGCCGGATGGAACCACAGCTGAAACAAAAGTAGACATCACAAACACAATAGCTACATCTCTCGCCAAAAACTCATCCCAAGCAAACTACAACACCGCTTTTCAAAACATCAAAACTAACAGAGAACAACAACACCTAAACTTCCACTCAAACAACACTGAAACCTACAACGCAGACTTGACAATAGACGAACTAACAACGTGCATCTCGGACCTGGGCAATACTTAACACTTACACTCCTACTAGACATATACAGTGGTAACCTGATATAACAGGGATGGTGGGAGTAGAGAAAATGTCCTGTTATATCCGATCCCTGTTAAATCAGAAATGCAAAGTAAAGTAAGCATTTGTGGACTAATCCAGCTGTACTTATTCATGGGTAGTTTCCCTTGCCACAAGTATCCACGAACAGAGGTTTTGGCATCAATTTTCTCCTTGCCTCCTTACACCACATCAGAAGAGCTTGGTCCAGGGCATCTGCATAGGGTAGTCTCATCTTCTTTCGATCCAGAGCAAACTTTTCATTGGAGTATGCTGCCACTATTTTCTCTCTATCCTTGATAATGGTGTGAATCGACCCTTGTGGAATGTCGAACTGATGACAAATCTCTGCCAGTGGAGATTGCTTTCTGTCAACAGCCTGGATTATTTCGTATTTTTGTCAATTGAAAGGCATTTTCTCTCGCGCTTGACATCGTTGGTGACACATTATGCGTGCGTGTTGCTAGGTTTCTGGCTAGAGTGAGGTCTGCAGCACACCGCAGCCCTCTCTCCCTTCACACGCTGCGTGTGCTTGCAGTGGCATGGCTTGCGTGGGCTTGCTCCATCACTGCGTTACTCTCTCTCTCTCTCTCTCTCTCTCTCTCTCTCTCTCTCTCTCTCTCTCTCTCTCTCTCTCTCTTACTTTTTACTCATAGTTGACGAGCCTTGGTCCCTGCTATAACCGGTTGGGCTCCGATGAGGCCCTGTTATAGCCGATAACTTTTAATACAGACAAAGAAGAGGAAAAAACGGGGATTTTAAAAATCCCTGTTATTACCGGATCCCTGTTATTACCGGGCCTGTTATATATGGTTTCCACTGTACAACGACATGTGGCGGTCGCACTCCGGAAAGGAAATTCTATCGCATCCGGAGTGGGGCGGGGACTCAAAACACCTTCTCCGCTTGTACATCTCCCTTGTCCGGTCCAGACTTGAGTACGGCTGTCAAGCCTACGGATAGGCAAAAGCACACATCCTGAAAATGCAAGACCCAGTACAAAACCAAGGACTCCGCCTCGCTCTGGGGGCTTTCCGCACTTCCCCGATGGAGAGCCTCCGGGCCGAGGCAAACATACCATCACTCTCACTCAGACGTA